CGAGCAAAACTTTTGTTTCGAAACTAAAAAATTAATTTCACATAGCCCTTACATTTGCATCCGTTTTAAGCTCATAGTTGTTGAACTTAATCTTGCCTTCATTTTTACGTCCCTACCGCGAGATTAACCCGACTTCTCACATTATTTATTATATGATACCTACAAAGGAATGCATAAGAAGTAGGAAATATCTTTGCAACCAAATTCATCAAAGCGGTATCACGATAAATAACAATCACTTTAGGCATCTCTTCTTGGTCTTTCAACATTGTCCAACACACCTCTAAGGCCCAAGTAACATTCTCCTCTTTTTAGCTCTCTAGAAATGTAAACCCAATAATGGAAGTCTGTACTTATTGGTCTTGTACCTTGAATCAATGATGAGAACAGTAGGAAACTTGTTGACCAACTTGATAGAATCAGGATGAGTCCAAAATATATCTCTAACGCATAATTCATCCTCGCACGTTCGGTACGTAGATAAATAACTGTTATCATCCAACAGTTTCAAGTAATGGTCGAAGTCTGTTCGCAAGTAATGCATGTTGTAGTCGAAGTTTGTTCTAACATGCATTAGTCAATATTGCTAGGATTGTTAGCATGTTAAATTGGGCCTTGCTAGTAAGCCCAATTGTTTAAGTTACCTTGTACCCTAAGTTAGTTTGTAATGGGTAATTGTTAAAAAGCCCATTAGGTTAGTGTGCTATTTTTCTTATAAATAGGATACTAGTTTCTCAATCTTGATACAAGGAAAAATAGGAAGATAAAATCCTAATTTCAAGAGAGAGAGGATATTTTGTTATTCTTGTATACTTGTAATCTTGTTCTAAGAGAAAGGAAAGAATAGCAGTTTAATAACCAATCCTTGTTGTTTTCTTCTTTATAACCCTAACCCTTGTGTGTTTCTTGATCATTAAGAAACTGTGTATACTTAGTTTTAAGGTATCTGATTCACAACATTAATTATATATTTACCCCACGATTACAAATAACATAAATTTCCTAAAATACCATTGACAAAAAGGTAAGAGTTTTAGTATGACTTTTTAAACTGAAAGTGAAAGAGCATCTATAAAATTGTTGATAAATTTTGGAAAAAAAATTGTTATTTAGTTATAGATCGTGTCAATTTAAAGGACTACATTTATATTTTAAAATAAATTTAATATTTAAAAAAAATGAAAAAATAAATAATGATACATTGGCCTATAATATTATATTGTTTAGTTTTTAAAAATTTTGTAGTCCTTCAAAGTCATTATCCCTTAAAAACCTTCTAAAAACCAAGCGGTCTTTATTTTATTTCGAACATGTCAACTTATTTTATTTGAATTCTCCAATTTTACAATTCAAAAAACTTTATATTAAAGATGACCGTATCTGCAAACCATCACCTTTACTACCTTTACAAAAATGATACACATTTTATGTATGTTTTTATCTTACAATACATTTAGGTGGTGTTACTTTTTTAAATATAATGTTAGTTAGTTATTTTTATGGATGGAATCCGAATACATTTTGATGTATTTTAATGTATATCTAACATTACTTGTATAATATTAGAATTAACGTTCTGATGTGTTTATATGTTATCAAACAAATTTAAAAGACAAGTAATGTCAATCGGTATGGTGTGATGCTAACAGTGGCGAATAGGGATTTCAATTTCTTGACGGACCTTATATTTTGTGCATATGTGATGCTAACATGGGAGAATCTGAATTTCAATATCCATAAACACTCCATGTGTATTCTTCGTACATGATAAAAGGAGGGTGAATTCGAATTTCAATATTCAGACCAACCCCTGAAACAAATTTCATTTTTATGCTCCATAATGATCTAAAGTTTATATAAATAAGTATCATATGTTGTTAACACAAATACTCCAAAATGAATCAATATCGGTATATTGCATTTGTTTACTTCAATGACATGAGGTCTCCTTTTGAGTTTAGGGTCATAAAAAACGCCTCTTTTGTAGATGTGAAATCCTAACTTGAGAATCTTTTACACTACACCTACAATCAAAGAGTGGTTAAGATCGAGTATCGTTTAACACTTGATAATGAAGGGAAGATAAACTTTAGTAAGTTTGAGCTAAAGACAGTTGTAAATGTAAGTGTTATATGAAGTACATTTCATTGTTACATAACCAAGGGTCAAATCGAGGTGGATGCGACACTTGTATGATCAACCACAAATATTCTAAAAAGGATAAAAATTCCTGAACTATCTGTTGGAGATTAAATGTCATGTTAGATTTATATTAACAAATATTTATGTTATGTTATGTATTATGTGTATGTAATAACAAAGATTTATATTAAGTTATGTTACTTTATATTCTCTATATAATATTGTTGGTGTGTTTCGCGTTTGTGAAAACCGAGATAAATCTAGATTTCAATATTCGGATAAACCCCTGAACTAAATAATTTGTTTGTTTTGTGTATGTGATAATATGGGTGAATATGAATTCCAATATCCACACACACTCTTAGAATAAATTGTTTGTGTGTTATGTACTTTGTCTACGTGATAGTAAATGGTGACTCTAGATTTTAATATCGAGATACATTTATTACTTGTATTTGGAATAGTTAAGGCGTATCTTGATTTTAATTTATAGAATTAAGAATATTTTTTTAAATTTCGTCAAAATGTTAGAATAATGTATGGGATATAGTGAACAATACTAAAAAATGGTGTCACGTTATACGTTAAAGAATGAGAATTTCTTAAAGCATCTTATATGTCTCTAATGCACACAATGTTTCAGAAATGTCTCTCGTTTTCGAAGATGCATCTCCGGACGCACTCAAATACACATATTTCATTCGTTTTTGAGTCAGGCTTAATTTTATGAATAAATTTATTTCATAAATACATATCCAAAAGATTTCCAAAAATGTTTTCGAAAAAAAATAGAAATATAACTACTGCCTCCACAAACATGTATAAATTAATGCCTCCACAGTTTAATATAATCACTGCAAGTACAAGTGGTTCCTTCCAATTGACATTTTATTAGTTTTCAGAAATATTGCAAATGCAAGTGCAAGTGACATTTAATTACTGTAAGTGGAAGTGTCTTCTTCCTAGTGCAAGCTTTTGTTAAGTATTACAAGTGTGACTAGTGTGGATAATAGTTCCACATTGGATAGAAATGTGGTGAGTTGAACATTTATAAGTGGGAGAACCCACACACCTATCACCTTAATGTTTTGGTTGGGTATGTGATGTGTCTCTCACAAAGGTGTTGCTCTAGTAAGGAAAAGTTTCACAATATTCAATGCTCCCTAGTGAAAATATCCCCTAACAGTGGTATCATGAGCCTTTGCTTTGAGTGAAGGACTGAGTCACTTGTATCGAAAGTACTCATCACAGGTGGTGGTTAAGACTTAAGAGGTGTCCACTTGAAAAGTGTCAACGGACGGCGCTACAAGAGTGTAAACCTTTCACTTAAAGGGAAGCATAAGAAATGTGAGTAGTGTGGATAGACTCACACTTGAGAGGGAGTGTTAAGTATAACAATGTGAGTAGTGTGGATAATAGTCGCACATTAGATAGGAATGTGGTGACTTGAGCAAATTATATTTTATACCCCATTAATTATATTTCTATATTTTATACCCCCATTAATTATATTTCTACCCCACGGTTACAAATAACATAAATTTTCTAAAATACCATTGACAAAAAAAGTATGAATTTTTAACTGAAAGTGCATCTATAAAATTGTTGATATAATTTGGAAATAAAATGGTATTTAGTGATAGATTTTGCGTGTCAACGGATTTTAAAGGACATACATCTATATTTTAAAATAAATTTAATATTTAAAAGAAATTAAAAAGAATAATGATAGTATCTTTAATGGGAGTAAACTAAATGGGTAAACTAAGATATTTTTTGTGGGCCCAAAGTGTTTTGTAAGATTTAAAAAATTTATAGTTGATTTGAGTAGTTTTTACTTTAACTATGGTTGTCGATAAGAAACCAAAAGTTGACCCCACTATTTTCAAATATCATGTAATTACTTTTAACGCTGTTGAAATATTTTATTAATTAAATAAATAATATTATAATATATTTCACATAGTTAACGTTAACTATATAGATAATGAGAACTAAGTTTTAGTTCACTTAAATGCCATGTCAACTCTACTATGATGCAAATTCTTTATTACTAACGTCAGTTATACAAAATTTTGATTTAACAATCCTGCACTAAAGTTGCTCATACATTAACATATAATATTATATTGTTTATTGTTTTAAAAAAATTTGTAGTCCTTCAAAGTCATTAACCCTTAAAAACCAATTCACAATCTTTAAACTTGAATAAGGTTCAAGTACTCTCCACATAGTAAACTCAATAGTCCAAGACAAATATTAAGAAAAGAAAAAAAAACATTTAGTTGTTGGAATCTAACTGTCAACATTTACACCAACATCTACCCTTCATAATTTAGGAAAGCTCATGTTCCAACTTTCTCATGATTAAATAAAAATGTCACCAAAACTTAATATACAAACTTAGTGGATGAAAAAGGTGAGAGAGATAACATGACATAAAGAGTTATAGTAAAGGAAAGTTTTTAAGAAAATTGTCCTTGATCAAACTTGATGTGGAATGGTAGTTCACAAGGGTCCCCAAACCAAACACAAATAGAGAATAATTAATTGACCAAATGAAACCTCACCATAAAGAATGAAAATGAAAGTAAAATGTCATACCTTGATTTGTCCTATGTCACATTGTTCATACATTGATTGGTTATACCATAAACATTTTATTTAACTCTTTAATTTAAGTGGAAAAATAAAAAATAAAATAAAAACAAAGATATACAAGATCAACATTTGAAGATAAAAAATGATTGGTGTAATGTAATACTAGAAGAATTAATATTTTTTTGACTCCTTATACATTAATTCTCATCCTTGAGGCTTGTTTTGATGAATTTGGATTGTGTGTTTGTGTTTATCCTTCACCTGCCATGTTTCTTCTTTCTCCTAGGTGCGCCGACGCTACCGGGTTCTGTCAATGGACCGGACCATGTATGGATATTTGTTTTTGGTAGTGACAAGTTTGTGGAACTGAATGGAACGTCCGGTGGATCGAACATGGGGTCCATGTGTTGGGAAGAGCCGAGAGGATAGCCTAGAGCTCCGTCTTGGTGTGGAGGAGGAAATTTTTCACTCTTGCTTTTAGCGTTTGCGTGCGTGATCAATCGCCGTCTCTGTAGTTAGAGTTAAACATTGTCTCGTCACTGTTTCAATAAACTTGCTACTTTTTTTCATATTAATCGAAAACAGTAAGAAATAGTTTCGGAGTGAAGTAGGAGAGTTAGCAGACATACATCGATGTTTGCTTGCAGTTCAGCATTGGCGTCTGGAACGGGAAGGCCCCTTGCTATTCGCTCACGAGGGCGGGATTTCTTGACACCTTCAGCATTCGATCTACCAGCAGCTCTCAATCTACAGTCATGAAATAATTTAAATTAAACATTGAAATGTGCGCATTTTTTTGTATGAAAAGAGAATGTGAAAGTAATTAAAGGCACCTTCTAGCTTCTTCGTCGCGTAGTTTCGCATCCATCTCCTTGCTAGGAGGATATTTCGGAAGGCTAGAGGGATCACAAGCATAAGGCTTTGTAATAAAGAACTGCAAAAGAGAAGCAAGCACAAATCTGTAAGAAAAACCATTCATGGCAGAAAAGTATTTCAGTCGATTCAATTATTATCTTACTTCACTATGCAATGCAGCAGTGGCAGTCAGACGTTCATCTGGATCAATTGCGAGAAGCGTCTCGATCAGTGGCAGGGATGACGGTGGAAAATTCTTAAAAGTCTCCACTATGCATCGCTTGTATGATTGTTGTGGCTTAAAAATGGTAGCATGTGGAAGCTTTGATTTTTTCCAATATTCTTCAGAAGGAGAACCACATAGCTTAAATATCTTATGTAGTTGCTCCACCTATAAACCATAATGGATACTATATCAGCAAAAAATATTGCAGTATAGATCAGTAAACCGAATATTATGCTCCGAAAAGGTGCAATTATATAACATACTGATGTCAATCGCGGAAAATAATTGTTTGTTCAAATTCTGCTATATGTTGCGGTGTTATAGCGCTGCTATAGCTTCTATTTAAAAGCACTTTAAACTTATATAATGCATCTAATCATAGAGATTACCTCGGTTCGACCAGGCATGATAGGTTTTCCAGCCAACAATTCTGCAAGAATGCAGCCAGCACTCCAGAGGTCGACTCCTACACCATACTCGGTGGCTCCAAGAAGAAGCTCTGGAGGTCGGTACCATAAAGTCACCACTCTACTTGTCATCGGGTGCTTGTGATCAGGATCAAAGAAGGAAGCTAATCCAAAATCAGCAATCTTGAGAATTCCATCGTTGTCAATAAGAAGGTTCGAACCCTTTATATCACGATGCAGCACGTGACGGTTGTGACAATGTTCCAGCCCAGAAAATAGTTGATGCATGTAGCATTTTACCTAAAATACCCAAAAAGGTTAAATCATGCGCGAATCGTATATCATCGACAAGAACAAGTACTTTAGTCATGTAAACCGATACCTGAGGCTCTGTGAACTTAATCGCGGGGTTTGTAGCAAGTCCAGCCAAATCATGAGCCATATATTCAAACACAAGATACAAACTACACGACATTCTAGAAGTCACCAAGCCTTCCAGTTTAACAACATTGGGATGATCCAAACGACGCAGAATCAGAATCTCTCTAGCCATGAACTTCACACTCTCGGGCTCTAAATTGTCAAACCGAACCTTCTTTAGCGCAACGATCTTCCCGGTTAAAGTATCCCTAGCCTTGTAAACATTGCTATATGTACCTTGCCCAATCTAACACAAAAATATTAAAGGCACCAATGAAAGATTCAATCTAAATACGAAACTACATTCTCAAAACACCAAACAACAAATACAAATCAAAACACAATCTTAAATCTCAAAATCGGAAACAAAAGCAAGCATTCGATTTCCTTTACCTTATCAAGCTTCTCAAAAGTATCAGCCCTCCTAGGAACCAAACCATTGATAGCTTCACCAGCAACCTTAGAAAGCCAAGAAGGCCAGCCAGCTGCAACCTGTTCACCATGAACATTGTTAGAAGGATTACTCAACCTCGGATTCGCCTTCGAAGATCGCCTTCTTCTCTCCCCTCCATGCCTCACTCTCTTCTCCTCTCCACCCTCTTTCACATTCTCAACCTCTCCACCACCATCCACATCTACTTTCTCTTCTCTCACTTCCTCTCTCCTCTCCTCCACCAATGACTCTTTACCAAACACACAACCCATCTCTCAAAATCTCTCATTTACACTTCCACTTCCTTCATCAAGTTCCAAAACATGTACCAACCACATTCTCACTCACTTTCTCACCATCTAAAACAATCATTCACATTCAGAAAAACCCTAATGGCAAATCTTGAAAATTAGCTGGAATGAGCAAATGCTACTTGAAAAGACTCAAACTTTGGGAGACAAAAGTGAAAAACAATGATTTAGAAGACACCCCACAAATTGTGGTGTAGTCAAAGAAAACAACACTTTTTATATTATATTTTTTCTCCTTTTTTGATATTGGAGTATGGATATGTGTGTGGAAGAGGATGAAAGTTGAAAAAACAGTTAAGGTTGTAGTATTTGGTGTTACTCTTAGTAGAAGAAGATTCAAGGATCAGTGAAAAGAAAAGGAATGTTTTGGAGAGAGAGAGAGAGAGAGAAGAAAATGTGGGGATGAATGGATCTGCTTTTTACTGTTTTTTCAACTTCTCTATCTTTAATTAATCTCTGTATTTATTTTGATTAACACAGCACAACAACAAAACAACAAGGAAAAAAGGGAAGCTTTCATTGTCAGAAAAATAACAATTTGTACTAGTACTTCTCTATTAGTACAATAATTGTTTTACTCAATTTAGTTTGAGAAAAATAAATAATTCTTTTTTTTGTTTTTGAAAAATAAAAGAGGATAATTTTTTTTATATCATATTTATATTATATTGGATTAATAAAAAATAAATAAGAGAGATGAATTGAAAGAAAAGAAAGTCATAAGAAAGAAAAATTAAAAATAAAATAATTATTTAATAGTGTAAAATGAAAAAAAAAAAAAAAACCTTCACAAAAAAATGTCTATTTAAGAAATGGGTGACAATCATATAAATTATTTTAATTTTATGAATAATTAATTTAATTTTTTTGTTTTTTCTTCATCTTTTTCAATGGAGGTTACAAAGAAAAATTCTCGTCACCTTCTTATATTTTTTTATATTACGGAGAATTTCTATTAATATTTGATCCTATCAGAGATAACTTAAGAGTATGAGGAATTATTTGATAATGTAAAATTAAAAATAAGGAAGAGAGTATAAGAGAAATATGGACATATTTAAAATATAAAGCAGACTGACCACATGTTAATTATTCTCTGTCGATACAATTCTATCTATTTAGACAGCTTATCAATCTAGCAGCTCATAAAAGACAAAATATGAAAACAACAAAATAAGAATAAGACAAGTTTATTTGGTGATTTTAAATTTTTATCGCAATATCTTTCTCTTCACAACATTCATGTCTTTATGGATGGAAATCTGAAAACTTCTTAAGCAGATCATAGTAGAATTTTCATGGAGCTTTGCCAAGAGGCAAATCCTTTTGCTGAACCAGGACTTTGGCAGTTGTAATTCAACCTCTTTTAACCATTTTTCTGTAGAGAATGGCCAAAGGAACTTTGTTTACTTAAGGCACTATAACAGGAAGAAACTGAATTGGTTGGCCTTGAGGATTTGGACACAACTTCAGTTGGGAAACGTGAAAGACATCGTGTATGGTAGTTGAGAAAAAAAGTTGTAACTTATAGGCAGTGGAACCAACACAATCCTTCACCATATAAGGGTCATAGAACTTGGGAAAAAGTTTGTGATTTTCATGAGCCCTTTTGGCATCGTTCAGTTTCTTTTTGAGTTCTTTGAGGATTATCTTCTTTGCTGATTTGACTTCTCTGTTGGCATGAGGGTGTACAACAGACACGAACTTTGTCTGCAAGCCTAAATCCTTACAGAAGTTATTGACCACGACGCTAGAAAATTGGGTTCCATTATCTAAGACAATGGCGTCAGGGAGATTGTATTGACACATAATCCTTTTTCCAGTAGAAGCACTTGACTCTTTATGTTGTGATTTTAGCTTCCGCCTCAAATCACTTGGTGAAGTAGTCTACTTCTACTATCAAGAATTTTAGCTGACTTGGCGTCAAAGGAAATGGGCCTAGGATATCCACACCACATTGGTAAAATGGCTAGGGCGAGATCATTGATTGGAGAAACTCTACAGGGGCGTGGTGAAGGTCAGCATATTTTGGCATTGATCGCACTTATTGACGAATGCAGGGTTATTTTTCATTAGTGTGGGTCAATAGCACCCCGCCATAAGTAGCTTATGAGTGGGTGTGGGACCATTTCCATTGATGTGATTACTGCAGGCTCCCCTATAGACTTCCATGAGTAATAGGGAAATTTTGGGTGCATCCAAAGGATCTGTCTTGATTTGGTTGCATACTGAATAGACGTCCATGAAACTTAACACACGGTAGCCTGACGATCCGTCGATTAGACGATCAATATCCGAAAGCGGATATGGGTCTTTGGGGAATGCAGCGTTGAGATCAGTGAAGTTTATGCACATGTAGCATTTGTTGTTAGCTTTTCGCACTAGGACTGCGTTGGCCAGCCAATTGGGGTAATTTATTTCAGTGATAAATCTGGCGTTGGATAGCTTTTCCACCTCGTCATCAATGGCAACCCTCGTTTCTTTGCCCCTCATACGCTTACTTTGTGCCACTGGTTTGGCGGATGGATGGATGACAAGGATATGGCTCACAACTTTGGTTTTTATACCTGGCATATTTGTGGAGGCCCAGGCGAACAGGTCGATGTTTCTTTTGAGTCGGCCGACTAGCTTCTACTCATCCCTTACAGACAAGGAGGTGTCTATTTTTATGAATTGATGGATATGAAGTCCTACTTGGACTTCCTTCAAGTATTCTATATGTGTGTGTAATTTTGGCTCCGCCCCAAGCTTGGGGACCCAACCTTCAAAGTTAGTACTCAAAACTTTGGAAGGTTGGCCATCAACAAGGGTGAGCTCTTCTTTGGTTGTCTCCATGCTACTCGGGTAACACTCACGAGCCTCTTGTCGATCTCCTCGAATGGTGCTCACTCTGTCATTTATGATCAGATATTTCAAGGCTAAATATGGGGTGAATACGACCTCCACTAGAGGGTAGATGGTAAAGCGCCCTATAATGATGTTATAACGTGACATAGTGTCCACGATGAGGTAGCTGACATTGATGGTTTTTGTGTTAGCTCACTTGCCGCATGTGATTTCTAGGGTAACATAACCCATTATTTGCACTCATTCACTTGATAATTCTATTTGAGAACCGGTTATATGCTCAAGCACACAAGAAAGAGACTTTCAATGCTCAAACCCTCAAGTAATAGACTTATATTCTTAAGCATACAAGCAAGAGACTTTAAATGCTCAAGCACTAAAGCAAAAGACTTCAAATGCTCAAGCACTAAAGCAAGATACTTCTAACTCTGTAAAAAATTATTGATAGATTTGGGTAAAACTACACTTGATGTGCAATCAGAGGTGTAAATAGAATACAACTTGTTAAGACTCTTAAGATTTAAAGAACTTCTAAAATATACACAGGTGATAAGATGTTCTAAGTCTAGCTAATTTGACATAGTGGATTCTCTTTTAAATGTCAAGGTTCATAATCTTGTATTGTAGTGTATTAGACTTATTTTCCTTGTCTTTCTGCTCCTTATATAGAGAAGAGGAAAAGAGACATTGGAAGACTTTCACCAAAAAGTTGGACAAGCTTTGTACTTGATTAGACACATCAAAAAAACACATTTCTACAAGAGGAATTATTCATTGAAGCTCAGACAACTATAAAGATATTTTTCCTTAAGTCTTTACGTGAACAAAAGATCTTTGAGTCTATCAGGGGTTCCTTAATTGAAGAGATTAAAGAACCTTCAGAGGTTGAATTTCTTCAGATTTCACTTTTCAAAGTCTGCTTCTTAGCTTCTGAAGCTTCAGAGCCTGAATCATCAGAGACTGACTTTCTTCAGATGTTGACTTCTTCAAAGTCAGAGTTTGAACTCCAGATTTATATCTTCAAGCTTTTTTTCATATGTTATTAGTCTTATAATCCTGCATACTTGAACAAATGTTAGAATACCCAATTGTTCTTTAAATACTTTATTATCATCAAAATCCAAGGGATAAGATATTGTCACACCCTCATTTTCACCATAGCCTTTCATATCATACGTTCGTCATATCATACATTGTTTTGTTGCATATCGATCATGTAGGTTCACAAGGTAAGGATTGAGTCGGTTCGTTGTTTTCCATTCCAAATAAGATAAATTTCCTATCTTGGGCTACATTGAAGAAAAGGTTCACCATCTAAGGTTTGGTTCAAGTTGGAAAGTCTACTCGTGTAGATTCTTTCAAGGAGAAGTTACTTGAAAAATATTAGGATATTCAAGATCAATATTCCTAATGAGCATGAAATGCAAGGCCTAATTCAAGATTTCTTCATCCAACTTTGTTTCAAGTTCTATGTTCAAGTGGAATTCAAAAGATCACAAGTTCATAATTCAAGACTTCATCCCTTTCAAATTCAATGGCATAAGGGAGATACACCATTCCAAATTCAAGAGTCATGAATTCAAGATTAGATTCAAGAATATTACAAAGGGAAATTTCATGACATTACAAGAATGCCATTTGTTACAAAGTTTCCAACTCTAAGTAATGTTTAGAAATTAAACTATTTCTAATCTTCATTCAAGTTTCTAATCAAATTCATGATATGGTACCCTTCATACCTCATCAAGTTTACATGTTCCACATTATTCCCACAAACATCCAAGAGAAATAATTAAGATTCGCCTTAACATTGGAACATTTCAAGATCAAGACTATGCATGCTTAGTCATGGACAATTTTAATGTAATCCAAAACAGACACATGCAAGAAGTGACAATTTGCCTCATAACCAAACATTTCATGTCACAAGACCAAAGGAATAAACTCATGGTGATGCATCTACCCAACAAATATCAGAATTTCAAAATTCTGTCCAAGGTTACATTGACCACAAGGGCAGTCCAAGCATAAGCCAACAAATGGGTACAAGATTTAAGAGCAATGCAAAGTGCAGCAGGAAAAAGACAACCTAGGCAAAGTGCAGCAGCAAAATA